CCGGGAAATCGGAACATGGCAGCAGGGCAACTGCACGTGGCACTGTCGCGGCTGTGGCGAGTGCGGTGACTGGAGAGACTGGCACTGCCGCACGTGCAACAATTGCTCCTATGGTATCAGTCTGCGCTGTCGAGGCTGTAAGGGTGTCTGTGATTCGTACCATGAGAATCACAAGTGGGAGGAGCGTATGAGGACAGGCAATTTTTCAGATGGGCTTTCAGACGCGGGCAGCTTGGATTAAATTCTCGATTTCGGCGTTCGACGAGGTTATGAATTGGGAACGACTCATGTGGCGTTAGGTTGGAGCGATGTTTATTTCTTAATGGGAGTTATGTGGTCAATTGAGGTGACTGAGCTTTACGTCATCGGGTGGGCTTCACGCGTGGTTCCATTTGGACGCGTCGCGAACGCATCTCACTTTCCCGTCCACCACAGCACCCAGACAGCACCGCCTCCTCAACGCCCATTCAACCACAATACCCTTCCATTTCCAATCGCCAGGAACGTAGGATCTTATCCCTCGCGATGTCTTTACCCGTAGAATCCAGCGGCAACGCTTCATCGAATCTCGGAAAGCGCAAGCGCACAGAGGACAGTCCAGCTTGGTTGACACAGGCTTCGCAATCGCAAAACGCATCGACTACGCAAGAGGGCGAACGCGGAGAGGCCGCCAATGCTCGACCGGCACGATTCACCGACCCTACAATACCACTGCATGATTCCGATTTTGTCGACGAATTCTCCTCCGATGACGACTTTGGAGGGGGCAAGTACGACGCCAAGGCTCCCATCACAGAGGTGAGCAACCCGCCGAACTCATCCGCAGTCGTTCTAACATATCCCAGACTCAAGTCGAGCCTCCCTCCGACTTCAAGCCTCAGTGCCGTTGCAAGGGCGGCAAAGGGAAGCAGGGACCTTGCGTCAACTGCTCATGCAGCAAATGGGGCTACCGTTGCTCCCCAGAGACGTGCGGCTGCAGCGAGGCCTGCGAGAACCCTTTCAACACCCTCAACATCGAAGACATCTTAGGAAGCAGCCCCGAGGTGAAGCTGTCGCCGTGCTTCATCTCTTGGATCCTCAAGCGCGGCTACAGAAACCACAAGCTCGAGCTGCGCCAGATCACCCTCAAGTGGCTTTTCGACAAGCTCCACCATTCTGCTAGACAGGAGCTTGAAAAGTTCAACAAAGCCTTCAATGCCTGGAGGAAGGACTGGAAAAAGGTCTCCAAAAAGAACGACGACCATCCGGAGAAGGTGGAGGCCATGCGCGACCTCATCAACATCGCCTTCGACGAGGACTTTGCCTACGGCGATTTTAACGGCTACTACTTCTCCTTTTGCGCAGGTGGACTGTACGGCGACAGACTCGGCACGTGGCGTCGAGACACCAAATCCTGGCACTGTCGCGGCTGCGGCGACTGCATGGACTGGGACGATTGGCATTGCCGCAACTGCAACAAGTGCAGTTGTGGTGGGCGTTGCGATGGTTGCGGTGGAGTCTGTGAGACTTACCACATGATGAACAGAAGAAGTGGTTACGACTCTTGCTAGAGACTGTGGTTGGACGTGTCATTGGCTAATTGCCAATGTAGAACAAGTGAGCAGGGCCTTCTCATTTGCAAATCTGTCACTGACGAAAAACAGATCAATTCAAACGGCATTGTGCGTTGGACACCTCATTGGAGGCAAGATGAGAAAATGTTAGGACGAGGACGGCAAAACATTCAGTGTAGCATACTTGAAGTTGGCTATACGGCGAGGGACATGAATTGGACTTTCCGCTTCGCAGTGGTTGACGAGAGCAAATTCAAATCATCAAGTTGAGACTCATGTTCACAGGGAGCTTTGAAATACCCAACTGCCCAAAGACCAAGCCATTTGAGCCCGGAGAAGAATAGCTCGATATTTCAAGCCCATATGCCCTGTACTGCCTTAGCCCTTCCCTGCCAGTGCAAAGAATCACCTCTCGCCGTTCCTACAAAGCCACCAACTATCACGAGTTGCTGAGGCCTTAGGAGAGGATTGGTTGTGGTTCTTGTCTGAGGCCATAGTTGGGCTTCTGAATTGCCAATGTCCGGGTTGGAAAGGTAAGCAATCTTTCGCGCTTTGCAAAATCCATGGCCCACAAAGGCTAGATCAAATCGTACGACGTCCTGAATCGAACGAGTCGTTGGAGACTGGTGGGAAAAGATGCTGCCAAGCAGAGTGTACTACATTCATCATGGCATCTCGAAGTCGGTTGTACGCTTAGCGGCTTGGATTGAGCTTTCAATTCAAAATGTCGAAGGTAGGTGAGCCAAATTCGACGTTGCGCATTCATGACTGACGGCAACCAGATCAACCAGCAGGACGGCCTGAACTGGGAATAATTGGAAAACATTCAATTGGACAAGGTCGAACTTGGCTGTATGATACTGCGAGACGACCGCGAAAGCGTTTGCGCCACCAGAAGGAGTCACCTTAGTAACGTGGTGAGACAGGTGAGTGGTGGTCAACTGGGCTTTTAGCGTGGTTCTCTCCACTTTCAGCGTAGTTGGGTGAGCTCCAAGCTGACTTCGATTCCTTTTATTTAAGGCCACGTTCAGGGCGCAACCCTCCGAAACAATCAACTACACTGCTCTTCAAGTTCTTTGAGTTTTGACTCTCCACAATTACGTCTTCACTCCGTTTCCTCTTGGACCGAACGATCTCTTTGTCAAAAATGTTGTGGTTGTCTCCCAAGAGCGCCAGCCGCATGTATGCGCATGCTTGGTCCGATCAGGAGATGGAAAAGTATGCAGAAAATATGCCTCCTTTTTGGAAAGAGTATCACAGCAAAGTCGCCAGCCGTCACAACATGTCTCTGCTTGAATACCTGCGAGGGGTTCGCGGGAGGTATGAGCTAACAGAGCAAGAACTCATAGCTGCCACTGAGTCCCACGAGCATGACGCCACTTGTGTCAATTGTCCTGATGACTTCGAAGGTCCTGATGGGCCGCTTATCTACCATCCAAACGCTTTGGTGACCCAGGTGAGTCCACAATGGAAAAAACAACATGCAGCATTGATTCGTAACACAATGCAGAAATGGACAGACGAAATACCAAAAGACTTCAGCCCCAAATGCCGATGCAAGACTGGCAAACATTTTTCACGACGGGCCGGCATATTGATTCGAGGTGATCTTGGGCCTTGTCGCTCTTGCGCGTGTGTCAAATGGGGCTACAGATGTTCTCGAGAGACGTGCGGCTGCTTCAAGGAACTTGGGGCCTGTCGAAACCCTTTCGAATTCCTTAATTTGGAACAGATGTTCGGCAGCTCTAATCCGAAGCTTTCCCCATGCTTCGCCAAATGGATCAGCAAACGTACACACAAAATTGAGTTCTTGCAGCAAATCACACTCAAGTCACTCGTTGAACCCATCCTCAAAGCTGGAACGCCCACCAGTGATGCTTACGACGAATGGAAAAAAGAGTGGGACCAGGTCGCCAACCATGCGGACAACAGTACCCGAAAGATACAGGCCATGCGCGATCTGCTCAGAATGGCCTTTGATTCGGGTTTCGATTACAAAACCAAGTTCCATGGCTACTATTATTCTTTCTGCGACAACTCCTGGTCCGATAGCACTTGTTATAGCCATTGTGCTGACTGTGGCCGGTGTGAAGGCTGGAAAATCTGGCATTGCGGCAAGTGCAACAAGTGTATGACGACGGGGTCCTTTGAACGCTGCAAAGGATGCAGGGGAGTCAAGGCTTCGTACCACGATCTGCACATCGACCGAATCAAAGGTCAAGTGAGCCGGCAATTTGTTGAAAATGAGCGGGTAAGCGAGAAAAAAAACCCTTTGTCGTTCAAATCACTGACGTGGGTCAGATCAACAATCAGACAACCCTGACAAGGAAAAGAGGGTACAGCGGAGGAGAGACAGGAGAAGGAACAGCGAATGTTGAGACGAACCCGAAAAGAACGAGAGAGAGCATCGAATGAGACAAGATAAGCCTCATGCTGGATGAGCAGCGTATCAAGCAATGGCGAATCAAATACTCTGCTCAAGTGAACTCGCTTCCTAGAGCTCCCCAATTTCATGACCCCAAAATATTAGTCCGGGCCATGTGCCAAATCCAATTCCGACTTGAGAACCGAGCGTCTAGCAACACCATCTTCAAAGCATCAGAAGCTTGAAGACTTCCCATCCGTCTCTACGTATTCCTACTCGACACCAAGTCATGGAGTTGGCATTGCTTTTGCCATCTACTTTGACTCCGGCACAGCGCGTCAATGCAATCTTTCGGCATTTCGGCAAGCCGAGGAATCAATCGCAAAGAACTCTGTATGTGCTCCAGGACTAACTTGGTCCATCAACACCGCAACGGCCACGGACAGATTCAACAGCATTGCATTACCTCACCCATACTTTTCTCAGTCATCTTTTCCGAGCAAACATAGATCGTCAGAGCATCCCAAGGCCAACTGACCTCACCAATTCACCGCCCATGCTTGCATTCGAGCTCCCTCGCTCCATCCTGCAGCGCCACAAAACTGGGCTGTGGCGGTGTGACAGGCTACGCCACAGATGTGGGGTTGCCGACCTCCCCCGAACGGCGTTTGGTTCGGCTCGGCAGGCTGGCAGCTTCGGTTGCTAGATCTTTTGCCGATGCTGCTGGCGGGTTTGCTATATCCGATGTCCAAGGGACTCGAGGTGGACCACAGAAGAAAGGAATTCAGTGGGGATTGACCTGTCTGGTGATGTGAGGACACTGTCGTTGCTGTCAGTCGAGTTCCGTGTCCCCTTTCTCGCTTCTCTTCGCTTCACAGTTTGCCATGTATGAGTGGCATCCCGAGGACTCGCATGTCGACCATCGCTAGGAAGCTGTTCAAACTCCAAATGCTGCTGAACACCGAATTTTGGCAAAACAACGCATTCGACGCTCTCATCAAGTTCCTCGCAACAACGTCGATATTCGCGGATCCATCCTCAACACCAAAAGCACGGACGACCGGCAAAAGGACAAAAATCAATGCAGCTTCTGTGGATCGAACACAGTACCTCCAGATACCGCACAGGGCTGATGCTTCCGACGAAGCAAGTCGTTCGGAAGATCGTAAGAACCGAAGTGAAACTTCAGTCTGGCGCTCTCCCAAGTGAGCTAAAGCTGCAATTGATGAATAAGCGGCCGGCTTTGTAGCAATATAATGTGATTGAATGAAAGCAGGAAGGCGTGTTTCTCCCTTTTCCGAATTTCTCCTCTTTTGATTCTCCCCTCCTTGTTTTCTGTAAAGTGTGAGATGAAATGATTTATAGATGACTCGAATTCCTCTAGTCGTGGTGCAGCGTCTTTCTTCATGAGTGAGACTGTCTTGCCAAAAATTGGCCGCCACTTTGGCCAAGAATTTCTTTTGAAAATCCCACCTTGGCAACCTGGGGGCTGCTGAAAAATCGGTGACACACGCGAGACAGGCTGAAAAGTTGATAAGAAGTTGTGTTGAAGGTGCCCCCATGGCATCGGTTAACCCATTCTGATAGCGATGGTGGAGCGATAGGATCAAAGGATCAAGAGGTGATGGATGTGGCGTAAAAGGGGCACAGGGGGCTGCGGGGGAGCATGCGCCTGTGCAACGGGACGCGTCCGACTGTGGCGCGCGTCAAGGGAGGATCCGCCCGAGCGGTGTCTGCCGACATCTTTCCCATCTCAACTCTTTTCCGTACGTCCTGCCGCAACATCAGGCAACTCGGCCGCCGATGCGAAAATGCGCTTCGGGATACGCAAAAGTCATCAAGTGCATGCCCAGCTGAAACTAGCAGCTTGGCCAACACTTCCTATACAGCGCCCGCACAACCTCTCGGTCCGTGTCACTTATCACCCCCAGCGCCGGACTTAGCATCGCAGATTGGATTTCACCGAGGAGGGCACGCGCTGGGCAGACTCACCCACCCAGAACATCCAATATGTTCCTACGGCCTTGGGACTCTTTCCCGCCTCGGGCGTTTGTCCGGTCACACGGCGAGCCTCCAGCTTTAGGGCAAACCACTCGAGCCGACGTCTTCAAAATGGACGAAAATTACACCGTCTGATTCGTGCTGCTCTAACGCCTGCCGCCGTGGGCGAAAAAACACTTGGTACCTGCGCCACTTGGCCCACAGGCGTCGTCACCGCATCATCAGCTGTGTGGGATTGCCAAGGAGCCGCGTTGTAAGATGAAGATTCAATACAGACCGTATCACGAGTGGCTACTGATTTACCTAGACTTCCCCCACATCTTGCTCTTCTTGCCATGTCGCCCTCTTCCTCTCAACCTGCGCCATCCGCCTCGTCATGCGGCTTGTCCTCGCCGCCCTACCCGCCCTCGTGAGCGCCCTCCCCTCGACCGACTTCAATTCCCTCTGGTACGATCAGGGCCTCTTCGGCGCCTACCCGTCGCGAGACTATGTATCCTTCGATCTGAGCTCCCCGCGAGTGAACATTCTCACCTGGAGCACACAATGCGACCCGGGCCAAATTTTCCTCGAACCGCGCGGCAAGTCGGTGGCCAAGCCGGGGCCCATGATACTCGATGCTGAAGGTCACCTTGTGTACATGGAGCAAAAGTTTGGAGAGGCCATGGACTTTCGCCCCCAGACGTACAAGGGTGAAGACTATCTGACCTTTTGGTCTGGCACTGACGATGGGACGCATGGAAGAGGATCTTACTACATGGTGCGCCCAGTGTCACCGCCGCCAACTTATGGAAGCTAACGTGAGAAGCTGAATTCATCCTACGATGTGGCGCGCGTTGTCAATCCTACAAACGGGCTCGAGGGTGACCTCCACGAGTTCGAGATTACACCAAACGGCACAGCCCTCATGTCAATCTACGAGATCATCCCGGCCGACCTTTCCTCCGTTGGTGGGCCAAAGGATGGGTGGATATACGACGGTCTTTTTCAAGAGTTGGACATTGAGACGGGAGAGGCTATCTTCCAATGGCGGGCCTCGAGCTTCTACCATGTCAACGAGTCCTATGCGCCGTTGAAAAAGAAGGGCAGGAGCAAAGACGACGCGTGGGATTACTTTCACATCAACAGCGTGGACAAGGACAGCGAGGGCAACTATTACATCTCGGCTCGCTATACGCACACCATTACGTGCATTGGTCCCGACGGCCAGGTTCGATGGAGACTTGGCGGCCAACACAGCGACTTTACCGACCTCTCCCACGGAGCCGCGTCCAACTTTTCGTGGCAACACCACATGCGCTATTTTGAAAACGACACTACCCTGACGATTTTTGACAATGGCGCATATGACAACAACTTTTACACTGCAGACTACAGCCGTGGTCTTTATATACAACTAGATCTGGCCAACATGACTGCCAAACTCATCGCCGACTACGTCAGCCCTGCAGGCATTCTCGCCCACTCTCAAGGATCCGTGCAGCTTCTTGAAAATGGAAATGCGTTTGTGGGATGGGGTCATTCTGCAGCCTTTACAGAATTCAAGCGGGATGACGGAGAAGTGCTGTGCGACATGCATTTCGGATCTTCAGCATTTTTCGGATGGGGCTGGATCAAGTCCTACCGCGCATTCAAAGGAAACTGGGTGGGACGGCCGACTTGGTCTCCCAGTATTGCAAGACGAAAGAGCAGGGTCTACGTGAGCTGGAACGGAGCGACAGAGGTGAAGAAATGGACGCTGCAAGCAGCAGCGGACACGGAGGGGAATTTCACAGACGTGAGCACCGTGGACAAGGTGGGCTTCGAAAGCAGCTTCCACCTTGCTGGAAAGCCGGGGCAATTTCTCCGAGCAGCGGCATTGGACAAAGACGGCGAAGTTCTAGGATACTCGCCAGTGTTGGACAGTCGGATGGGGCAGCTTGTAAGTCGGCAGCGGCAGACTTGCCGTCCAGGATCGTATGTCTGTACGAATCGAGTGCTAACCCCCATGGGTAGGTTGATGGCCCGTTCTCGCCAATTACTGACGACGATCTCGTATTCCTCCAATTCTTACTCGGACTGCTTGCCTGCGGCACCCTCGGCACCATTGTCTGGAACCTCTATCCATCCTTGAGGCTACGACGCTTCAAACGTTTCTGAGCTTTTGCAGTTGCTTGGCAGAAGAATCTTGCCTTTGCTTTAGGCAGTTCTGACCCGAGCCTGCACACATTCGTACCTATTCTCCTGTACAGCAGCTAGTCCTACCAATGACGAAGACATGACGACCAATCATGGGCGGAGTAACGGGGTTGAAAGAGTCAGTTTGTACCATAATACTAGAGCATCCCGCGGCGTTTGCAGAACCTTTACCTATACCCTTCAATGGACACATGGATTTAATCAGCACTTCATCGCAGACAGCAACATGCTCTTTTCATTTTGCGCCAGGCGGTTGGATTTCAAAAGACTGGTTTGGCGCTGAGCCTAGTGCGGACCTTTTGCCTTCTTGCCGGAAAAAGTCGAGGTTTAGCGCGGACGCCAGCCGCCGTTGGAAAGCGGACGTTGGATACACGCCGGGCGACTACTGACTAGTCGCAGGTTCTATCCATCCTTTTCTCGAATACACTAGATAGTGGTTGGTGTCTTCCGCCGACTTTAATCTACTTGCACGGTACTGTACTCGAGGGAGCAGTCATCCCTTTCGAGAAGCGCAGGTGAGGCCGGGGATCTCCCAAATCTGCGCACTCGATTAACTGAATTTCTATGTCACGACTTTCGACATGAAGCAGCAGACCAGCGGCTCGGTGAGCATGACCAACCGAGCCAGGAAACATGATAAACAATGAGCGGCAACCGCTTCCCAGCATCGTCATCCAACACATGCATTAGTTCAATAAACTCCAACGACTTCGCGCCGGGGACGGGACGACTGCGGTGAACCAGCCTACCAATCTAGGACCCGCGCCCACCCAGCCCGTCCATCACCAGATACCACCCCACCATCTGTCCAGCAGCACCTCAATTACTATTCGGGCAGCACTGCGCACCCCTAAAAGCTTTTTCAAACAAGACTTGCTTGTATATGAGTCTTGCACGCCCTGTTAGGAAGCCCGAGAGCTCGGATGAGATGCGAAAGAATAGGCTTATAGGTCCAGAACGGGGATGAGTGTCGCGACCTGCCTGTTTGGGGAAGGTGCTCCCGTCTGCGCTGGCGTCAACCCACCCACAATCCCATCCGATTCGTTGCTTGACCGTACTATACCACCCACGCTTGGCTCTCGGCATGGACGACCGCACTTTGCTGCTTCCAAATACTTGGAATTGCTTTGGCCAAATTCCCTTGCCATTTCTTTCCTGTCCTTGAATTCTTTCAACCCACATCACCATGGTCTTCATTAGAAAAATTCGCTGTTTGGCATTGCTGCTCTTCGCTGGCGTCGCCTCGAGCTTCATCCCCTCACAATCATTGACAAAAAGGCAAATACCAAAGAGTCCGGCAAATGTCAAGACGATCACTTCGCCGTCTGGGGTCACTATACGATATAAAGAGCCGGGAAAACAGGGGATTTGTGAGACGACGCCAGGAGTGAATTCGTACGTCTCCCTTCCCTTTGAAGGATACACTTTGGAAATCTAACAAGTAAAAGATACTCTGGATACATAGATCTGTCGCCGACATCTCATTCGTTCTTTTGGTTCTTTGAGTCAAGAAGAGATCCCGCAAATGACCAGATTACGCTGTGGTATGACTGAACATGTGGCACCCGAACGCTCCTGCTAACCTCGAAAAGGCTGAACGGCGGTCCAGGATCTGATGCACTCATTGGACTGTTTTCGGAGCTTGGCCCCTGCAACGTGACCAAGGCCAACCAGACGCAACTGAATCCGTACAGCTGGAACGAAGTGTCTAATCTACTGTTCATCTCGCAACCTGTAGGTGTCGGCTTCTCGTACGCAGAGCAAGCTCCCGGATCGCTCAACAACGAAACGGGCGAGTACAAGAACTCCAGCCAGGCCCCAGTGGAAGGCGTGTATCCCGTGATTGACCCAGAGCTTGTGGATACGACTGATCTGGCGGCTGTGTCGGCGTGGCATGTGCTGCAAGGCTTTTACAGCGCGCTGCCGCAGCTCGCGTCGAATGTCAAGAGCAAGGAGTTTAATCTGTGGACAGAGAGGTACGCGGAGTCTGAATCCGCCCTGCACACGACATGACTGACACAGTCCAGCTATGGCGGCCACTACG